GAACTGAATTTGGTACATAACTTCTAAGCTATGTAGTTTTAGTAGTAAGCAAGTACTGCCACATTACTGCTTGGCGGCAGAATAAGGTAAGGTGGCAGTACTACCCTGGACGAACTCTTTCACAAGGTCTACTGCTACATATAATAAGAGAAGTGAGGTAACTGCATACAAATATAATAGCGTACGTGTACGGATAAACATTCGCATAATCTCGCCGTGCATTCGCGTTGCATAGCGCTGGTTGTCACACGCGCCAATCATTATAGAATCGAAGCGTTCGCTCGGTGTTTAAAAGATGACATCAAATAGCAGACATGTTTATTATTGTGTTTATAGCTGTTTGAACAAGAGTGTCGAAAATTCAATTTCATGATAATACTCTCAAAGATATCAGAACAGTAGCGTGCTTGTCGGTTTTCTATCGGATACATTTCGGGGGGTGTGTGCAGGAACTTTTCAATTTAGTTCCACCCTCACTGTTCGACTCGGTCGACTAGAAGGTCCGGAACACTCCATCCTTGTCGTTGATATAGCACTCATCCGCACTTTGCGCTTTGCTTCCTCCTTTCTGATGCGTACGGCAAAGGAATAAAATACTCTAAGGCATCTGTTTCTATTCAAGGTTAGAGTGAATAGGCATTTTTTAGGCAAACGCGTAATGTCGTCGGTCACTTCATCGCTTAACATCAGGCGAGACTGTGGCCAAGCGTGTGTCTATTATTTAAAAATAATATATCAATACGTAAGTACTGCATTGAGAATACAGCGACGAACACTTCATTCTTTTCAAATTACACTTATAACCAGTAAAACTGAAGTAATACTGTGACAACTCTTCGCTCCGAGAGCAGTGTAGGCATAGATTGGAGTTGCGCTCCTTGTCTTATTATATTATTCTATTAGATAACTCTATAATTGGTAGTGTCTAGGATTCTGAGTGCTTCATCATACCACTAATGCAAACATCGTAATACGCTTTATCCTCACAGGTGGAGAAATTCAATACTAACAAGATGCTAAGTACTGACCTGCTAAACGCGACGCAGGAGTTGTTAGCAACGCGAAACAATATTCAACGACTGATGAAGAAATGCGTGGGACTAGCACAGCAGTTGGAATCTGCGGTGGCCGCTGGCGCGGGCCGATTGCTGCAGCCCACTTTGCTAGACGCTAAGTGAGTTTTCCGAGTTAATCCCTAGTATCTAATGTATGCACGGCTGTTGACGTAGTGTAGCCATACTTCATACTGTGTTTGTATGAATTAAATAGGGTTCAGTGTCTGTTTAATGATCTTCGGATCACGTTAGACCAGATCATAACATTTGGACAGTAATAAACAGAGTACCAAAGCAACGAAATTCACTCCAAGGCGTAGGCATATGAAACATCGATTATATAACCAGAAATAGAGACCTGGCAAATGGGCCTTATATCATTTTTAAATATCAACTCTCGTTTGCGCTGAAATTACAAATTAGAAAGCTGAAATAGTACAGCGCCAACAACTGACCTGTGTGTACGTCTCCGTATATTCCAAAAATATTCTCTAGTTAGTGTAATAAAGATAATATCTCTAACAATGGGGGCTGTTCCATTAGGTGGTGTGGGAAAAACAGCAAAACATCTAATTACAAAACAAACTGGATCACATTTCATCGGTAATTAAATATGTAATATTTCAATTTTCATTCATTATTGCAAAGCTCAGGTTAAACTGGTCGATTTGAAGTGAAACAATTGACGACACCCGTCGTGTTTTCAATTCGGGCTGGCCAATCGGGTGCAGTTGTCACCGTAATGATTTGGCAGAATAGTTTTTATACAAACTAAATGACATTACGTCTCTATTTCTGGTTATATACTCGATGGTATGAAGTTACCGCAAGAGAAAAGTAGATATTTTTTAAATTTCATTTCTTTAAACATTATTTTCTCGGTTTAAGTTATTGCCACAAGCACCCTTTCAACTAACGGCGGCAGTAAACCCCCTGAACAGTTTTTGTACGAGATAACGAGAACATAACAAAATCTAACCTTTTCAAATCTGTATATTTCTTTTACAGTCTAAAACTGGCTCCATACCAGCTAGTGGGCCTCAACTGGCTGGCAGTGCTACATAAGCAGGCTGTCTCAGGCATACTGGCAGACGAGATGGGATTGGGCAAGACGGTGCAAGTTATCGCCTTCCTTGCTCATCTTAAGGAGACTGGACAGGCAAAGGGCACACATCTCATTGTTGTCCCTGCTTCTACACTGGGTGAGTTAATTCATCATCGTGATTTTGTCGTTTCTAACTGAATTTTATAAGAATAATTAAAGAAAAATATATCTTATAATTGTAACGCAAAATAGTTGTTTATTTAACTGCCTCCGTGGATGAACAATTACCATGCTAGACTGCCACATAAAGTGTGTATGTCCATGGCACCCGCGATACAGGGTTTCCCTAGTGTGCAGGTTTGAGTATGTGCATTATTATATTCTTTGTTCTATGAATGAATCTCATGTTCTATGTTGTGATGTATAGGATTCCAATTATCAACATACGTGAGTAAAGAGTTGCATTCTATATAAATAACTGCCTCCGTAGCCGAACGATTACCGTGATGGGCTGTCAAACAGAGGTCGGGGGTTCGATTCTCGGGCCGGGAGAAATATTTGTATGGCCTACATTTATTTCTCTCGTGAGTTTGGCAGTGACACCCACGATACAGGGTCACCTGCCCAAAAAAAAAATACAAATCAAGTTGTGCATCCATTCATCTAAGCAAATAAATAGAAAGATACAATATTGATTTAAAGTAAAAACGAAGATTTTTGTGTCTTTACACATTTATACCCTAAGTAGGCATGATGTTGTAGCGGAATGACACTCGCGTGGAAATAAACACTTTATTTATAAACAGTTCTACAGCATACATAGTGTTTTCTTTTAAATGAGACAGTACTCTGAGATTGACATCTTCAGCATTTCGGAACGCCATTTGCGAAAGGTTTGGACGATGTTGTCGTGGTTGTTGCTGATATTATTATTATCAACATATAACAATGTTATCTATTCAATCATAACTGATGTAAAATTTATCTTAAATTAATATTAAGTATTTGTATGTATGTATTAAGATAAATAGTTAGGAGATAATAGTTAGATTTTTATTGTTCACTAGATGTTAACATTTATTAATTTAGTACCAACTTTGTATACATGTCTGTGGACTATTGTCTGAACTGCCCATGTAAACTTACATACTGTAAAATTATTGACTTTAGTCTGTATTGTATACTTGCATAAATAAATAAGTATGGGGAATGGGACAGTAAAGGCCCATTTAGATGGAGAGAGTTTATCGCATTATTTGTATGAAAAATACGTTTTATGAAATTTGACCAACTTCTGCGGTCCCGACTTTTTCGTCACATGAAAGAAAAATGAAACGAACAAGACAATGAAATGATCCTTGCATAAAACTAAGTCGATCAGCACTAAAAAAAATTAGATCATTTTTATGGACAACTCACGCATGACCAATAAATTGACTATGTCAAAAGTGTTTTCACAAAAAAAAAAAACTTAATGGTTCCTAAGACAGTTTCCTCGTATATTTTATGGTTTCGGATTTGTCAATGCTGTCCCATTAAAAAAATACTGTATACCTAATTAAATTGATCGCACGCGTGTGTCACCGACTTTTAAATACGAAGTCAGTGGAAATAATAAAATATTGCTTGATTCCCACTTACATTTAGTAGCAGTAGAGCTCCTTGTGAAAGAGTTCGTCCAGGGAAGTAATGGCTACCATACCTATTTCGGCCGCCAAGCAGTAATGTTCGCGTTATTACGTTCCGGTTATGAAGGGTAAGGTGAAGTTATAAGCACATGGGACTTGTCAACCTACGTCTGAGGGTGACGGGCGCAGTGACAGTGCCCTTCGTATCTTTACGATTCAAAGCTCTGAGAGAAACTGTTATGAACATGCGTGTAGCTTACTACCAGGCGCAGGACTTATTCGTCCCGTTTTATTAAAAAAAAACATTCCTGAGATAAACTACACTAGAAATTAAACAATAACGTATTAAGAGGGAGCATGCCAAAAGTGTTTTGACGTTGGCTCCGCCCAAATTTGTGAAACAAATATATGCCTGAAGTTCGCGTGACACGCGACAGGAGATGTTGAATTTTGCGTATTAAAGTACCAAATTAGTTTTAGCGGAATAACTCTAAAACTAAAGGGATTAAAAAAAAATCCGTAGTGACAGTTGTCGATCATGCATAAATATAATTAATTATTTAATTTTTGTCCTAATAACCTGGAGCATTTCGAGGATAAATCGAAAAAATGTGAAAATTAGAGGTCATTTCGTGATTTTTATCTATAGAGGAAACTTTATTGTTTTATGTTTCTGATTAATGTCTATGCTTGAATATATCGTGTAGTTACTCATACAATATTTTATTTTTAACTTTAAAGTGGATATACCGCTCTAAAATCAAATTGAAGATTAGGAATTTTTCCTCTGCTCCTTCTTAATTCAACTTAGGTTCACTAATATTGATACTAAAAATCCAAAATTACAGACAATTGGAGTGGTGAACTGCAACGCTGGTGCCCAGCTCTTCGTGTAAGCAAATATTACGGCCACCCCGAGGAGAGACGATTATTACGTATCGAATACGCTCGCAATCTAGACAAATATGATATTGTACTGACTACTTATACGATGGTCAGCAGTTTACCAGAGGAACGGAAAATGTTCCGAATAACACCGATGCATTACGTTATCTACGACGAAGCTCATATGTTGAAGAATATGTCTACCCAGAGATATGATAATTTGTTGAAAATTAAGGTAATAACATGAATTCAAAGTTTTTTTTTATTATTATTAGCAACCCCTGAGGATACCTCGTAGAGAAGCCAAACACGTGTCGGGTATATTTTTGGTGGTAGTATCTGTGACTGTAGTTGCGCTTGTGTTATTTATTTTATTAATTTTATGCAGAAGGAGGGTGGCGAAATGAAATGCATGAAAAAAAAAAAATTAAAGCTATTTCACATGATCCCCACTCGATTGGCGGAGTAGCAAATTAATTAACTTCCACTTTTATTAAACTGCATTATTGTAGCCAATCAGTTTTGCAATATGGACGCTTCATGGGCATTAAGTATGACCATTTTGAAAATATTTTTTGTAAATTGCTTCATGTCTGGATGATGGGTGGTATCCCCAGAACTTTCATTACTCTGAAACCAATCTTTTTTTTTATTCAATTTCTAAATGATTTTACAAAACGCGACTCTTTATCGCTAGACAAAAACTTAATTAACCACCTAGCCATGGGCTTAACAATCTCGACAATCAAATTAACTTATAATTCACTAATTCTAGAATATATGTTTACACTTAAATAAGTGCTATAAATATTATACTACAAACCATGACTGTCTCATTATTTTTGTAATTTTGTTTTCAGTCAAAGCACCGTCTTCTGCTGACAGGCACGCCGCTCCAAAACAACTTGTTAGAACTGATGTCGTTATTATGTTTCGTTATGCCGCACATGTTCTCCGGCAAGACTGATGACCTCAAAAGCCTTTTCCAAAAGAATGCTGTGAGTATTCGATATATAGTACATTATTGCAGAGGCCGGGAAATAAGGGATTGCTGGACGAGTATGAGTTACAAGGACGAGCGCCAGGGAGGCCTTATTTTAATAACAATCAAGCAATCCACGTTCCCGCCGAGGCGTATATAGTGATTTTCTCAAACAATGTGAGAAAATAATAAAAGACTAAAGAGAGTAAAATGTATAATAGAAAAAGTGAAAAAATTTTAATTAAGGACAGGGGAACACTGGGCAATTGGCTGTATGAGTTTTTCTAGATTTAAAAATTTAGAGAAATCGACAGTAATGGATTTACATAATTGCTTTGCAGGCCTTGGCCGAGAAGAAATTCGAGCGAGAAGATGAACTTTCCGTGTTCGGTTTTTTGAAAGCACCTAATGCAAATTTTTCCGAGCATGTTTGAGAAAATAACTTTATAAAAGGGGTCAATTATCTTAGGGAGTTTACCAACGTAATTGTATTTTCAGAAATACAAAGGCACAAAGAAAACGGACACCGACGACGACGTCCCACCATTCGAACAGAGCCAAATCACACAGGCCAAACGCATCATGAAGCCATTCGTGCTACGGCGGTTGAAACGCGACGTGCTACAGGACCTGCCTAAGAAAACAAATCACACCGAATCGTGTAGTATGTCTGATAGACAGGAGAAGTTGTATAAGGAATTGTGTGCTGGTTTTGCAGCTAAGGATGGCACGGTAGGGGTTATTTATATAGACTATTATCAGCACTCCGCATATCAATCGTTTAGAGCTGACGCTTGCTAACATGTGGTCCCACCCCAATTTTTTCTATTTTAATCTGTTACGTAAAATCTACATAGCAATCTCATTATTAGGATGGACGTGGATGATAGAGTAAAATATGTTGGTTTATAGAGACATTTTTATTATTCGGTCTCCAAAATATAAGTAATAAAATAATTTAAATTAAAATAAAACGTAAACTTAATTGCTAACCAAGCAATATGCATGCATGTTGCAGTTAGTCTATAAATATATAGTCTGTCTTTTTTTAAGATGGAGTAAAATGACGTTTGCAGGGTTACCAGTTTTCATAAAATTTTAAATAGTTATGTACTTGTTGTCGATAGTTTTATCGATAGATTGTGAAAGAAGATAAAATTTTGCCAAAAATGACTGCATTGTAAATGTTACGACGCTCTAGTGATTACTAATTGCGTTATTGCCTTCTTTATTCTTATTTTGACTGTTGACCTACTAGTATCGAGATCAATATTTTTTCACATACATTTTAACAAGAACGAGTGGTTATGATTATGTATGTGGAATTCAAATGAAAAACTTAAAATATGTCTCCACTTTATGTTAATGAACATAGTTCTAAATACGGGGTATGTATGTGTGAACTTACAAAAATTTACAATTCAAATGAACTTGGACTCAGTTATATGATGAATAATGAATCGAGGATGATTCAAATGATACAAGTTCGGCTATTTATTTCATAAGGGTGACCAATGTTTAGTCGATAGAATATTTATCGACTGCAATCACTAGCTGCTCGCAAGCGGGCAACACTTTTGCACAATGAACTGTCATTTTACTCCGTCTTATATACTCTACTACAGTAATCAGTTCAAAATTTGAGAACAATTTTATTTCCAATGAATAGCAATCGAGAAAACGTAATATTTTCATATTAAACATTTTTGATAAATTTATCAATTAATTCCAGATCCACGCAACAATGGAGCAAAGCGGCATGTCAATGATGATGGACATGCGTAAACTAGCCAACCACCCCCTTTTACTTCGATATTACTATCAAGAAGACTCTCTTCGAAAGATCGCTGGACGCCTAGCCAGAGATCCCGGCTACAAGGAGAAGAACGAACAGTATTTGTATGAGGATCTGCTGTTTATGTCCGACTTTCAAATACATCAGCTTACTTTGCAGTATCCCGTAAGTTGTTATTACTTGAATTGGAGAGAATTATTACCACACACAGATGCTTTAGTAAGTTACTTCTTTGTGGTTTTATATGTAGGCTTCACACAGCGATGGCTAATTTACAAAGAAAATATTACGTAGGATCCTACAGCATGCTGAGGCTAATGTGTGCTGTCACTGTCACAAACTCTTAATATGCCTGACCGCTTCGTTGTTTATTTTTCTTTTGGCATTGGTTAGGTTTATAATCAACACCAGCAATTAATACTACGCAATCTCGAATGCTAAATTATTTAGTTACTTTAAATTAAATTCAAAATAAAGAAAATAATGGAAAAAGTAATATTCATTTCTCATAATCTATGGCGAATAAATCGCAGTAAAAAATATTAATATACGTTTGAAAATAACAAAATTAACGAGTTGCAATTTTTAGTTAGCATTGTGTTAATATCTAGTGTCGAAATGTAGAATGCAACATTATAATGTTTCATAGATAAGTATGTTGCTGTTATTCCAAAGTAACTAAAGCACTTGTGTAACGGAAATCGGAAACTACGATACCACAAAGACCCAGACTGGAGACAGTATAGAAAAGTTAGTTTTATACATTGACCCGGCCGGGGATCGAACCCGGGACCACAGAGATAGCGACACCATGAAAACCAGTGTGCAAGCCAATCGACCATAGAGGTCGTCAAACATAACAATCTTTTATGTTTGTTATAACATTTTATTTGTGGAGATAACTAAACTGTCATTATTATTATTAATTGATGAATCCATTTTTTTTAAAGATCTGCACTATTTTATTCTATATTATTATAACCATCCACATCGGTATATACTGTATTATTACTAGCTTTTAGCGGCAGTAGAGCTCCTTGTGAAAGAGTTCGTCCAGGGAAGTACTGCCACGTTATCTATTTCTGCCGCCAAGCAGTGATGTTAGCATTACTGCGTTCCGGTTTAGGAGGTTTAGGACTTGTCAACTTATGTCTCAGGGTGGCAGTGCCCCTCAGATCTTTGCGATTTAAAGCTCTGAGTGGCACTGCAACAGTTATAAGACAGGCGTGTAGCTTACCATCAGGAGCACGACTTCTTCGTCCCGTCACTTGATATTATATACTATATTTCGTTGCTGTGGTACTGTAAACATAGGGAATTACTTAGTTTTACACTAGGTAATTGGTCTAGCACATTATTATTTCTTATTTTTATTACTCTCTCCCCCTCGTCTCGGCAGAACAATTACTGTCAAATACATTGACTTACAATTATATGGACGTCGGGTCCGCGCTAAAAAGTGTCCGCACTTGTAAGACGCTAAAATCGTATACAGAGCGCGACACTCCGCTTTAGTCTTCATTTGTTCTACTGACAGCGCGATACTGCGATGACATTACAATTTAAATTTCGAATAGGTTGACTTGGGACATTTTTTTCGTGGTTTTTGTATTAGACCCGTCGTCCATTTATTTGTAAGTCAATGGTCAAATAAGAAATACTCATCCGTCAACTTCTTCCAAGGGATTCTGTTTGAACCCTTGTCAAATTATACAAAAATGTTATGTGACATCATTGACCTACCAATAAATGGACGTCGGGTTCGCGCTAAAAAGTGTTTACACCTGTAGGGCGTTAAAATCGCATACAGAGCGGCAATCGCGCAATAGTCTTCGTTTTTAAACGTAGTGACATGTAAAGGAATATGAAAAAGCTAAAACGTTGAATTTAAATTGTAATGTCATCGCAGTACTGTTTAATTTTGCTTGCTTCGCTGTCAGTCGAACAAACGAAGACTAAAGCGTGAATGACGCTCTGTATACGATTTTAACGCCCTATAAGTTCGGACACTTTTTAGCGCGGACCCGACGTCCATATTTAAATTATATTATATTAAACAATATAATTATAAACAATTGTAAGTCGATGAGTACAAATAATAATTTGTAAAAATTACTGCAGTAAAGTATGAAAACAGGATTTTGTATCATATTTTCAATAAACAAATATATTGTGTTATCATAGTTGTCATTTAAAAGTGTTATTTTGTACAGATTTATAATATTTAATTTATATATAACTGAATCGTAAATATAAATTTATATTACATAATATAAAAGCACACGAAATAATGAAATAGCTAACTGCCCTTTTTCTACTCATTACATGCGCAAAAGGTGAAAAGAGACCCATTACGTCAGTTTCAAGAAGCTTATATAAACTTCTTGGTCATTTTCAAGTGTTCGAACCACAAGCGATTGAAATATTTAGAACAAAGAAACAGTAGAGTTGCTTTGATTTTAATCCTATTTTTAAAATGATTTTTTTATTAAACGTTAGTAATAACTAATAAAATATTGTTGTAGTCGTTTTACTGCATGGGATTACCTATCAGAAGTCAGAAAATAACATTAGAACGAATTTTCATAATGTGTTTTTACTAAGATTACAAAACAAAAGCTAATTTTGTCTATGTAAAACGCATCAAAATTACTCGAAAGCGTAACAGTTTTGTTATAAATCTGAATTACGGATATTTGAGATTACGTTTAGTTACAATATCGGTACATTTCTTATAGTACATGCTTATTTTCACATTTGTAGTAATAATTGTATGTATGTATCTGCCCAACTCTTTATTACACCTTTAAGTGAATTTGTACAAAATTCGACATAATAATATATATAAAAAAATTAATCAATATTTACGAGAACGGCTATTCCATTACTCTTGTGTTCAAGTAATTTTCAGTCGAAGCTAAATATGGTGCATTTTGTTAAGTTTCCAGTAAAAGCTGAATATGGTGTTTTTGGGCCCTTAAATTGTTGTAAGCAAATTTAGGGAGTACTGCAATGACGTTGCAATTTAAATTAAATGTTTTAGTTTTTTATATTTCGTTACATGTCACTAGGTTTGTATAGGTTAACCTCGCACATTTTTTTCGTGGTTTTTGTATTAGACCCGATGTTCATTTGTTGGTAGGTCAATGTGTGACATGCTAAATCGGCGATAGTTAACGTAGTACTTTTGATATAATAATAATATAAAAATAACTTTACTATAAATTGCATGACAATTAGAATAACGTTATGATATGGGGTTTAGATTATGCGGTTATGGCAATTTACAATCTGGGCCCCAGAGTATCTTTGAGAGATAAGTTTAAGAAAATTAACGTTCCTACACTAGCCTCACAGTACATTTATGAAAATGTAATTTATGTTAAGAGGAATAGTAATTTCTTTATGAAAAGAGTGACAGACATAACATTAATACGAGGCATAAAAATGAACTAGCTGTTCTTGATGGTCGTCTTTACGTAGTCACAAATTCATTTAAGGGGTATGTATACGCTTCTATAACAAGACTCCGGTTGATATACAAAATTTGCCTTTCACGAGGTTATAGTGAAAGAAAAACTTTACGCTAAGGGTTATTATACAACTTCTGCGTACTTGGATGACAGAAATCCGTAGTAGTGACCCGTTTAGTTCATGGAGGTAGTCTCGATCTCTGATGTTTCAAAACAAAAAATATATATTGTAAATGTTGAATGTGTACAAATGTTATTTACAAAGAGCAACCCCTAAAGTTTCTTGCTCATTCTTCTCAGGGAAATCTGCCTTACCAATGAGCGATAGAGTTTAACCAATGTGACGATTTCAAATGTAATAATGCTTACCTATGAAATAAAGATTATTTTGAATTTGAATTTTATAGGACTGGCATGTTCTATAGAACAAAAGTTCTAAAAGTAAATGAATATTAAGAAAAAAGAAATACTCATCGAGTATACAGGCTGTATATTTGAAAGTGGGACATACTTATAGAGTGCGTTATATTCCTGATTCTGAACCCAAAGAAATAATAAACTAATGGACTTAAGTCCATTTAAACTTTACATTTTTTTTATCGACTACTACTTGTGAACAACATTAGTTATCGAAATCTATGCACATCACTATTATTGCTCCGACACAACGGCGAGCGGGGTTAGGGGCGCGGGCGCATCTGCGAAATTGTTGTTTGGAGAGACAGTGCACGCGCGACCTTAGCCTAGCGAAGACACGTAAATTACATGTACTTCCGCTCGCCCGATGGCTGAACAGTGTCGAAGGTGGTGCATGAGAGGAGTTATCTCAGCATTTTATACTGTGAGACAAAATGTGTTTATGTTGAACAATTTATAACAAAATTTACTACGACATGCTAGACTATGTGGAAAACGGTGGACATTTTGAACACCAGCTCCGTATCGCGTAAATAATTAATCATTGTAAATAATTTGATTTCACATTTTTAACTACGCCAAAATCTTATTAAATTATAACTAGTTACTAAATCATAAACTTACCTTTTTTTGTACGTAAAACATTTCGACGATAGTTCAGAAGTAAAAAATAATTAGCATTAGCTAAAACGTAATCATTTCGATAACAGCTTTTTTCATCATAACATAAATATGCGTAGGTGAGTAACTTAGTTTTTATTTTCTAGAGAAATGAGGTGCTTTGTCGGTTCCAAGTAGGAAGGGAGATGTGAAATCATTGGTATTGTTGCTGTCTCACTC